CATCAACCCCTCAACCCCCCTACCCCCCCCCCCACCCACACACACCATCCACGCGCCTAGACCTATCAACTGAAGTGTGAACAATCTATCATGGGGGGCTGGCTCTGATACCATGATAAAGAAATGGATCGTGGACCTAACACAACCCTAGAAGCTAGCTCAAGGGAAGAGGATTGCCCAAGTCCACATAAGGAAACAAATGGTCTCCTACCCAACCGATGTGGGACACTAACATATATGTATTTAGTTATGCAGAGTTTAATTATAGAAGAATCAATTATGTAAGGCTTAGTTACACGAGAATCAGTTATGTAGAGATTAGTAATATAGGAATGTAATGATTATTTATTATTTGTCTAGTTTATTCCATTAAAATTATTAATATATTTTAAATGTGTGAAAATTAGGACTTTCTTGTAGTGAGGTCACTAGAAACATGAGGATAGGAAGAACTCAAAACCTTTGATTGAAGCAAGACGAACAAAGTGAGAATGTTTTACTATTACGCGAGATATCTTATGAATAAAATATTACTAGTGTTTATAAAGAATTAAGTTTTAACCTATGTTGCTCAGACTCTTCAAAAATGTCATTGGGTGCGTGACGGATCCTCCAAAAGGGTCCGACACGGGTGCGGCAACGTTTTTGGAGAGTCCGAGCAACATATGTTTTAATTAGTTTTAGTTCAATACATTTAACTAATCGAAATATATAAATTTCTTGTTCTGTATCCGCACTCGGATCCATACCCCGGAATCCTAAATTTTATGTGTTGAAGAATCTAACCTCTTGATCCGCACCCATATCGGATACCCGCACGGGGAGTCCGAGCAACATAATTTGTAACTGCTTTGGAGGGAAGTCAATGTTATCCCAAAAAACAATCCTACTAAGTTATAACATTGCGATGCAAAGACAAACCTTTCCCAAACTAAAGTTGGAGCATGCTTTTGTCCTGGAATACTCTAGCATTGGGCTCAATGCAAGCACAGCACATTTTTGGTATACAGTGCTGAATGAATGATTCAGACCCTAAATTAGATCTCCTCAGTTCCCTAAATTTGTGATGGAAGACTGAGTTCTTCCAATGATACACATCCAATACCTCCTAGGTGTTGTTTTGATTGATTGAATAAATTACCTTATTTAACCCCACCCTCCGAACCCCAAAAAAAGGAGGCATGCTGAACTCTTATCCATTACAAGGGCACTACTCACTCCGCAGGCAATATGACCTTACTAGGCTATCAAAAGTGGTAAAGTACTCTAACAAGTTTCCAAACGACCAACAAATAATACACTCAGAAATATCAGTGAAACCTTTTCAGCAGATAAAAGGAATTGTTGACACCTTCAGTGATGAAAATATATTGGCAACTGGAATTCTTACCTCATACAACGGAAGGAAGTTCTCTGAAGTAAAATCCAATGAACATCCGAAGATAAACCTCAACATGCTCAAAAGCGACTCCATGTCCCAATGAACAGATATAGAGTCGAAGCAAGATTCACTGGAACAGTTAAACATACAACAAGAGGTAAGGTAATCTCAGAAAAGAAAGCAATTATGTTACAATACTTATTCTAAAAAAAAGTAATTACGCTATAATGTTCTTCAAATTGTTTGCATTATCTCTTGAAACATTCCATATAATATTCTACCTACGTATATTCTATATAATTATTACTCCCTCCATTATATTTCATATGATGTACGTTCCAAAAAATTGACATCTCACTATCTTTGGTAACTCTTTAATTCCAACACTCACATTTTACCTTTAAAGGGCTCTCTTATAAGCATGATATGTCATGTGTACAACCACGAGATTAAAGGTATTTTGGTATGGTATACATAGCTTGTGTCAATAGTCTCTCTTTATTAGCTAAACTCCATACCAATCAAACATTGTCATCTAAAATGAAACATAAGGAGTAGGAGAATATTTACTTATCGCGTTATAGGAAGGAAATAACTGTTTACATATACGTACTCTAAAACTTCTATATATGAAGTTATTCTTGTACATTATAATTCACTCAATAGTCAATACAGGAAAATACATCTAATTCTCTTGTGCTTCACATGGTGTAAGAACTAAGGGGAGGGAATATCGAAGTTTGAGTTGCTTTCAATCACCAAAAGCGTTGTCTGATAAAAGTAGTATGGTGTACGCTCGTCACTTCAAGATCTGTGTCTCATCCAATCAACCACTACACCTGGAGAGTTATCTCGTCGTGATATCAAAAAAGGATACTGGTCAAAAGCCATACCATAGGAGCCCTCATGCTCCATCAGAGCCCATCACTCGCCGGGGCATTCATATAGTCACCAGCTTTTATTCAGGTAATGTTCCATGTTAGCACCACGTTAGGTTCAGCCAACGCCACGGTAAACCTAGCCAGCCGCCACACCATTACTCAGTTAGTTCACTCAATAGTCCAGTTAGCCCACGTCAGTAGTACAGTCAATGACATGCCAGCTAGTACAAGAAAAAAAAAGGTCCTTTGATTTTTCGACGTGCTGGATCTATTTTTCAGTTGGATTAGGTCAAAATCCACTCCCTAAAGTATATCAAAGACAAGTTATCTTTTCTAATCATAAATTACAAATAAAGATAGGAAGCAGCTTCAGGAGATCAGTCAATTGTGGTTTCTAATGACAATTGCAACATATTCCTAAAATTTAAGGCCCCTACATATTTGTCTACCATCTCTCTCACACATAGTAATTCAGCTACATATCTACCTCAGTCTTCGTCCTTTGGGTGAACTCTTGATTCAGAAGTCTGAGACGATATGACCAGTCTCCACGAGCTTGGTTTGGACGTTTTGATTGTGTAGTCAACAATTGTGATTAGCCTGTATCTATAGCCTATTTGGCCAAGCTTCTTTTGAGGCAAAGGTACCTTCTTTTTTTGTCAAAAGGGTTTTTTTTTTTCTAAAATTAAGGTGTTTGGCCAAGCTTTTGAAAGGAAAAAAAGTAATTTTGAGGAGAAGCAGAAGGAGTTTTTTGAGAAGCAGAAAAAAGTAGCTTCTCTCAAAAAGCGCTTTTTTGAAAAGCACTTTTGAGAGAAATACACTTGGAAGCACTTTTTAAAAGCTTGGTCAAAACTAATTGCTACTCAAAAGTACTTTTCAAATTAAATAGCCAAACACAAACTGCTTCTCACCAAAGTACTTTTTTTGAAAAGCACTTCTCAAAATAAGCTGATTTTAGTAGCTTAGCTAAACATGCTACTAGACAGATCATTCCATTTTTCATCGACACTCTAAACAGAGTTGGTGTCTCTATCTTGCCATATATGTGGATGATAAATTATTACTGGAGACGACAGTAAAATATTTAGGTACTAAAATAACATCTCTCACTTCCGTATTTGGAATAACGTAAGTACTTGTTGGGGATAAAGGTTGGTTAGTCCAATTCATTTGTGCCTCTCTATAGAGGAAATTTGCTCTGGTTATTTTGAGCAAAACCGGTATGCCTGACTATCGACCAATCGACTCACCTATACATCCTAAAGTCAAGCAACTTCAAGGCTGAGGAGTCTTAAGATTGGTAAGTTGAATTATCCTAGCACCGTCTGGATATTGCGTTATTGTCAATATTATCAGTCAGTTTTTTCAAGGCACTTGTGATAGTTAATGAGATATAGTAGTGCAGATCCTTCGGCATATCAAGATTCAAGAGTAATCTAGGACAAGGAATACTCTACAAAATCGAGGAAATAGTAAAAGTTTCACGTTTGCAAATGAATATAGGGTTGGATCTCCATCAGATAGCGCCTACATCTTGATACTCTGTTTTGAGTGGTAGAAACCTGGTCTCTTGGACAAGTAACAAGTAAAATGTGGCTACTAGATCAAGGGTAGAAGTTGCATATAGAGCTATGGTCCTACCAACACATGAGCTTATGCGGTTAAACCATATACTTGAGTTAATTCAAATGAATTATAGATTGTCACAATCAATATGTGATAACAAGGCATCTAAACCAGTATTCAATAAGAGGACAAAATATATTGAGATTGATTATCACTTTCTCTGGACAAAACACATTCCTCACTCATCACCACTACTTACGAATGAATTATGAACTCCAAGGATCGCATTTATGTGTAGCAAGTCTGGAGCTCATGATCTATACACTCCAACTTGAGGAGGAGAATAACAATATTTACCAGATCCATTGTATCACGCCTTGTAATATTCCATAGAAAATTAAGCTCATACTTTTTATTTAATAACAGAACATTTATTACCAAGTTAGAAGCAAGAAATAACTAAGTATCATATCATAGGGCCTAAGAATCAATGTAGCTCTTCTTGTATGTTATTCTTCACTTCAATTCTTTTACTGCAATAGAAATTTTAACATACATAAAACTTCAGAGAAAGATGAATGAAAGGAATTATACCTAAAGCTTCCACACAATAGTCCGTGAAAATACGAAGATTGCTGAACGAGCCTGCAAGTTCAAAAATCAAGTAAAACGAAAAGCAAAAAAGCAAACACTTTTTACAAATTTTGAAGGTTTAAAAATAGGTAATTTACCTTTGCCGATTAGCTTTAATTTTAATGATTGGGCGATGAGCAAGTGATGTTAAGTTCCATTGACTGACTTCAACTGTTGAAATGACAATCTCTTCGTTATCTTCGTGTAGACCGGAGCTGTTCGGGTCGATACAGTTGAGAATTACAGTCTCGCCGTTGGCTGTATCGGCGTTGGACTCCATACCGGAAGTTTGTGTCGCCCGATTCAGGTAGTTCAGCTTCAGTGTTGAGTGCAGGGGTGGGCATACTTTGTACAAACCGGAAATCCAAACCGAAATCGGTATTTCTTTCTATTTTTTGTTTGGATTTTCGGATTATGGATTGGATTTTGGATTTAACTTTTAAAATTTTTAGATTTCGGATTGAATATTGAATTTGGTACTTAAATTTTTGGATTTCTTATTTTTTTATATAATAATTTTATTACTTTAATATTTTATTTGCATGATTGCGGCGAGAATAAAGAACTTTTCAGGCAATTTAACATGAGTATATTTATTTTTGTAAAAAGAAAGACATCTCAACTTATAAGGTCAAAATCAAAAATCCAAAATATTCAAACGGATTAATCCGAAATCGAACTTAAAAAATCCGATCGAATCCGAACTTATTTGGATTGGATTTGAATTGTCATTTCGTCAATCCAAAAACTGAAAATCCAAACTAAAATTTCCTATGCAATCCCACGCCCGCCCCTAATTGAGCGTGAGAATAAGGAGGATTGGTGCCCAAATGCAAAAATATCTTGCAGCTGCTCTTTTGGTGTTATTTTCACTTTGCCCCTTTATATTTTTGGCTTTTTGAAATCTGAACCTGTTTTGTTCGCGGGACCATTACAGTTGGAAAGTGAACAAATTGGGGAGTACTATTTACAAGAACTTTCACTTCTGAAAGAAAATTTTAATATGTTGACATAAAATAAAAAGCTTACGCTTTGAGTAAATTTTATTTAATCCCCTAATTGTTTACATTTAAAAATAATAGCTTCTCCACCTTTTAAATGGAAAATGAACCCCCAAGTTCTAAATCAACCGCCAACAACGAGTAATGGCATAAATTTTTAACATGTCTAAAATAACATTTAATTATGATGGACAGTTATACGTTTTTTTCAAAAGAAAATTTACTTAAGAGTACACACTAATATTGTACAAAAATGAGTAAAATTTTATTTAAACTGTCATAATATTTTGAGGTACAAAAATAATACATCATAGTATATCTTTTGCATGAAATAGAAAACCTCTTTAAATTAACACTTTTAGGCGGTTTTGAAACTTTTGCAATATCATATTTAACACTCAAATTTATTATCAATGAATAGTTTCAAAGACAAAAACTTTGAATATGTAAGGATGACATGAAAATAAAATAAAACATTTTACACAAAATTGACTAGTTAGAGCAAAATTTCAATACTAGCAATATACAGATAAAATAGGGATCAAGACATCTTTAAAATTTGAAGCTCTACAAAAAAAAAAATGAAACAAAATGATTCTTAAAATGAAAAGAAAAAACTTATGTAGAAAACGAGATGTATGAAAAATTTAATTTATGTACAAGTTATTGATTAAAATTTTCAACTTTGAATATGTAAGGATGACATGAAAATAAAATAAAACATTTTACACAAAATTGACTAGTTAGAGCAAAATTTCAATACTAGCAATATACAGATAAAATAGGGATCAAGACATCTTTAAAATTTGAAGCTCTACAAAAAAAAATGAAACAAAATGATTCTTAAAATGAAAAGAAAAAACTTATGTAGAAAACGAGATGTATGAAAAATTTAATTTATGTACAAGTTATTGATTAAAATTTTCAATTATTGAAAAAAGTACATGTTATATTCATACTAATTGAGGATCAATTTTTACATTTTAAAAGTACATGCAAACCCAACTCTGGTTTTGCCTTTGATTTATAATCAAGAGGTTTATAATCCATTCAAAAGGTGAAGGAACATCATTTCCAAAACCCAAAAAGTTGAAGGGGGTTAAGTGAAATTATTGTTAATTACATAATTATTCTTCTCAATCTTTTATGTGAAGCTCTGAATGCATATACTCTTGCCATCAATCTAACTTCTAAGGATATTTTTTCTGTTTAGAACTGTGAATCACATATTTTAAACTAGTGTACATAGTAAATAATAGGGTGAAGTTTGTGGGAGAGTACTACTGCAATTGTCATATACTTTCTGCTAAATGCATTAACAAGAAGGCATTTCAAGATCATTTTTCCTTGAGTTTGCTTTGGGTATAGCTACATTTGGAGTATGCCTGTTGGAGTGTATAGTGGTCTACAACCAACAGAAACATTAATGGCAGAGATAAAATCCATCATACTTCACAATGTCGCAAAATTTGCAATCAAGATCCTTTAAAGGGGATATGGCCGCTTTGCTATTTGTTGCATTCAGGTTAATATTTAAGGCGAAAAAGTTGTCACTGCATCGTAAATTCTTTTTAATGTGCAAAAAGTTGTCGCTATGTCGAGAATTGTTAAGTACTTAGTTGATGAATTACCATTATTTTCCTTTCTACTTAGAGTTTTCCTTTTTTATATGCAGGGGTTGCTTATGCTCATTTCTATTTAATTGTAAATGAATTAGGATTCAAATATATCAACACCTGCAATAACTCATATCTATCATTTTATTGATTTATTGATAAGGCTTTGATGTTTGATTGAAGTTAAAATGTTAGACTTTTTATTTAAGATGTTCCTTTGGGGACAACCAATAAATTAGATTTTCCATCTAAAACTATTATATATTGGAGAATCTGCTCTCTTAACTCAAATAGGGTAGTTGTAGTTTCAATGTATTGTGGTGAGTTAGGAGGGTAGAGTAGAATCATAGGATTTAGGCGGACGTGTTACAAGATTTTTAATTTCTCAGCACAAAGTAGTACCCGAAATTCCAACCGTCCTCTCCCTTCCAACGAAAGAGGGTATATGTTCCATTGATCAACTTGCTTGGTGTAGCTCTCTAACCACATTCTCTTCACTCTACTTTTATTGTTTAGAAGATACTGGTACATTACTGAATGTTCTAGAGTATATTGTGTTGGTTATTTGCTAGGGAATCTGTTGAAAATTGTTGCTTTGGTCAGTCAGCGAAGATATAGTACTTGACAGCTCATATGGTACTTTAGAGATGAAGAAGAAGCTTAATTGCTCCCTATGCTTTAATAAGTGGAAATAGAGCAAATATAAGTTAATTTCAAATATGTTAAAAGAATATAAGGAGATGATGATGCATCGTGGTATCGAAGTCGAGGATTTTAAGGAAATTTATAAGGATATAGAGCCCGTTTGGCTTAGCTGATTTAGAGTAGCTGATAAGCATTAGGTGCTGAAAAGCACTTTTAAGTGCTAAAACTGATTTAAAAAATAAGCAGTTACGTGTTTGGATAAAAGTGCTGAAATTAATAATATGCAGCTAAAGAACTGGGTATACAAAGAGTTTTGTTTTAAAAAGAAGTATTTTAGGGATAGAATAGTAAATATTTTGGTCAAACTTAAACTGCTTATAAGCTGAAATTTGATAAGCTGGGGGAGACCAACTTATGGCTTTTGGCTTATTTTTTACTTATAAGCACTTAACTTATAAGCACTTTTAATTTTACCAAACGCGTAGATAAGCCAAAAAGTGCTTATAAGCCAGTTTGACCAGCTTATAAGCTTAGCCAAACACCCTCATAATCATTGCAAAAGAACATTCAATTCTACATGAACTTGGTATTTAAAAAATTGAAAACTAAATATTTGGTAAACCTCATGTTCGTAGATATACCGCACCAGTAGTAAAGTGTAATAGCACGTCCTGTGATTTAAGATGTAATTCAATTCTCTTTCTAAATCTGTTTGTAAGAATAGGAATTACCATTGTTGATCATAAAGTATTTGACGGAGTCTTTACCTTAGTCTGCTTGAATAATAGGGACTTATGGTGAATGTAAGTTCAATATTTGTGATGATATTTAAACTGTGGTCTCATCAAAAATCGTCTTATTATATCCTCCCCTCGATTAGTATTCCTTTATATTGCTTTTACTGGGGTGTGAAATAAGGATTAAATATTTTAGCCAAGAAAGAAGGAGAAGGTATGAGACTGCAACAACTTTATCTGATATTAATTCTTGTTGTTAACAGGGAATGAAGGTACATCCATTTGACGTGATGTGCTCATCTCTTACCAGAGTTTTTGCATCCTTCTTCCCACAACAAGACATAATGAAGGTAGAAAATATCCTGAATCAAACTACCACCATGTGTGAGCATGCCTAGGTTTGGCTAAATATTCTGTTGTCAGCCGAATATTTTATTAAATTTGCCATTCCGAAGAGCAACATATGTAGGGGTAACATGAGAACCTACTTAAGTCTTTAAATCAATTTTTTCTTTTCTTTAACTGTATCTTTTTCTTTATAGCTCTAAAGTCATGTAAATTATTATCTGCCAAGCGACTAAATCATATGCATGCCTCCTGGGCCTTATTAAAAATATTTTTGGCATTTTTCTTTGCAGCAACATTTAGATAAAATGGAGGATTCATATTTTATTTATTTCAACTTACAAAACTCATATTTTTTTAGCTTTGTGATTTATGCATTCTCAGTTTGCTATTGTTCTTCACCAAAAAAGTATATTCTACAATTATTGTTCTTAAGAAGAACTTATATTTGCATGAGCTTATTCAAAAGTAAAAAAATTATGTAGAATGACAGATTAAAAACAGAATTATGATTGAGGCGTGAGCTGCAAATAGAAGAAGAATTAATATGTATCAATATTTTGAATTAATAAATTTTAGCGAAAATTTTTAGACTATTGAGTTATTATGTCATCCTAACAGTAATTATTCTTTTGCAAGGTAAAGTTGTAAAGCAGCTTTAGTTGATTATATGCCACAATTTTATAACTATTTGCTTATAAAGTGTCACAAATACTTGGTGAACTGCTGCCTAAACCAAAAATTTATGGGAATTGACTCATTTATTTATGAAACTGGAGATGAATGAGTGAAGCATAAATTTAACGGCAATTCTAATATGATTTCGTGTCATTTAATATGCAAGGAACCTGCAGCCTGAATGAGCACGTATTATATGTTCTTATATCTTGTTGTGAGTAATGATGTTTATAATATTGATTTATTCTATGGCTTTTAAAGGTGTTAGTGTTGCAAAATCATGGAGCCTCTGCTTCTATTTTGCTGAACCATTCTCGTGGCCAAATGTTTGTTATTTTAGTTGTTCCTCACACAGTCTCTTGCAGAGACTGTTTAAATGCAGGGTAAGGCTGCGTACAATAGACCCTTATGGTCGGTC